TACCAGTGTTTCCCCCAAAATAAGACTGGGTTTCATATTAATTTTTGCTCCAAAAGGCATGTTAGGGCTTATTTTCATTAGGTTTTATTTTGGGGGAAATAAGATATAAATGCATCTGTCTGGTTGACAATCTTAACTGGGACTTATTTTTTGGATAGGGCTTATATTACAAGCATCCTGAAAAATCATACTAGGACTTATTTTCCAATTGGGTCTTATTTTGGGGGGAAACACGGTAGCTGTGATAACTATTTTCACACCTGCAGCTAATACTCCAACTGTGGCCCTTCCCCAGCTAGTCAGTTTATCAATGATTTGGCGACATCCATCTTGACTTGTACGTAATGGGCTTCTTCGGGAGTTTATAGGAAGGTGCTAATCAGTATTTGGCCAGAGAAACATTGAGGAAATTCCCAAAATTACTTTGCTGGCCATTCCCAAAATGTGCATTGACTGTTCCCATAACTGATTTCTAAATTAAAACATAAAATAAAAAGGGTTCAATGGGGGGGGGGAGTCAAAACCCCTTGAAACTGGGCTATGGAAGCTTTTTTCCCCTTTGTCAAACACACCAGCTTTGCTGAGCAGAAATTAGCAAAGATAACCAAATTCAACCACCACAAAATAGGATGAAGGCCACTAGTTGATAAGGCTTTCAAAAACGTTATTTAGGGAAAGAGGGGGATCAAGTCACCATTACTAACAAGAGAGCTACCTGGAACCTACTCTTCAGAGAGCATACTGAATCTGGTTAATGAACAAACTCAGCTGCTAGGGAGTCAATTGTTGTGGTTAAAGGTGATATGCCAAATGCTATGGGGTAGTTCAAACGTGGTAAGAGCCAAGGGGTTGTTGTTTTCCTGCCTTGTTGATGAAATTTTTTGATAAGCCCTGAGAGTTGACTCAATAGCAGAGATCTTGTTACTATATATTCTCATGGTTTGGTGCTTAAATCCAGCTTATTCACGCTTGGTAGAGAATGGTGCATATATGGCATAGGTTCAAATAAGGCTGATAACGTTCTCTACTATGCATGGAATGTCTGGTGAGCCTTCTTTTAGCTATGTCCCTTTTCTTGTACGTATACTTATTTTTTCTTATTTTTCCTTCATATTCTTTCTTGCTTATTTTCTTCAGTTTTGCTTAGCCTAAAAGAAACAGCATGATAGATCTGTCTCAAAGGTGCTTTTTCAAAAGGCAAATGGACTTTTTTTCCCCCCTTGAAAACGTTTGAGCAAATCAGAACTGAAGCTTCTTGGATGAGAAGCAAAACGTCTTCAAGGAAAAACAAAGGAAGTCCAATTGCCTTTTGAAAAAGCTCCTTTGGGAAAATCATGAACTGGATGACTAAGAATCTCTGTTCTGTCTGTTTGCCCTACCTAATTTCTGTAACATGTGGCTTCATAAAGATTTTACAAAGGCCCGCCTGCCACAGGAATCAATTTCTAGCTATTTGGGAATGTTGGAGGAATATATTGAGATTGTGAGAGTAGGTATATGAATGTTGCCAGAAAGAGTATTAGTAAATCCTAAAGGGAAAGATAAAGAGTGTTGTGCTCTCAAGTTTGAAAATTTCCAGTTTGAGAAATGTCCTTGGTATATGATGGATGCAGGACATCATGTCCCAAACCAACACACATTCTTCTATTTACAGGCTAAAGAAATGACTGATAGTTTATGGTTCAAGTCCAAAGCTCTTTCCAATTATTACATCTGCCATCATCAGCCCAAACAGTATATACATTATGTTGTATCCTGGAGTACAATTAAAAAAGAGACAGAAAAATTACTTGGAGCGTACTTGTCTTTTACCTATCATAATCATGACCTCCAATTCAACCCCTGGCATTTAACTGAGAGAATTATTTGCAAGGCAGATCTATGCAAAGAGACATCTTTGCTGTGTTTATACAGTACAGCATACTTAACCAGGTCATTAGAAGACCTAATGGCTACATTTATATAATGTATAAAACTTGGTTAATGTTTTCATACCTTAGCGTGTTGTGCAAATGCAGATATTTGAGATAGTTTATGGTTGAAAAATATATTTCAACCCCCCCCCCCCAATGGGCTCCTTTAGAAACTGGGTTGGGTGTGTTGTACAAACACAGTCCAGTATGTGGTAAGTTACCCTCAGGCTGACAGGTGTGGACAAAGCACTCAAGCAGACAATATTTTTCCATTTTTGAAAAGTGGTATGTAGGAGACGTAATGGTGCAAGTCCCTTGCTCTTTTCAGACAGCTCTTAAAGTAGAGGTAAACAATCTAAGATACAAGACTGAATGTTATTTTTGGCACCAGAAGAACCTTCCCACTGTTCTCCAGATACTGTAGAGCAATTCACAAAACACATGGAAAATGGTTTCTAAAATCTCATGTAGATTTATCCTACTTTAAAAGGAAACTGAACCTCAGTCACCAGGGAAAGATGAGAGGGGGAGAAAATTGTTTCCCTTCCCACTTTATATTACCACAAAATCTATTGTAGCCTTTGCCCCTTCAAAGCAAGTTAAGGGTAATTCCCAAACTACCAAAAACTACCTAGCCTGGTTTTAAGTCTCCGGGTTATATTTTGAAGAAGCAGGATAGGAAGAGAATTGATGTTTTTTTAACTTTAATGCTGAAGAAGACTTCTGAGGATATCGTGGACAACCAAACAACTCACAGTCTGAAAATCTGAGAGAAAGGAGCTTGTCTGAAGCATCTATTGAGATGGAAAAAAGGGAATTAGTGATGGAGCAGAACAACTACACAAAAGAACAGTTTTTTCCCCAACACCATCACTCTGCTAAACAAATAATTCCCTCAACACTGTCAAACTATTTACTAAGTCTGCACTACTATTACTATTAATCCTCCCATCCTTCCTTTCACCCATCTCCTCCGGTTTATGACTGTATGAGTGTAACTTCATTGCTTGTATCCTAACGATTTTTATTGACTGTTTCCTAGTATGATTTGATTGCTTTTTGTACCCTATGACTATTATGAAGTGTTGGTACCTGATGATTCTTGACTCTTGACGAATGTATCTTTTCTTTTATGTACACTGAGAGCATTTGCACAGAGACAAATTCCTTGTGTGTCCAATCACACTTGGCCAATAAAGAATTCTATTCTATTCTATTTATTATGTGAAGTACAACAGATAGAGGCCAAGTCTACATTGGACAGATGTCTACACAACTGCTTTACCTCAAATATCTCTGGGCAACAGGCTAAAACAGAAAAAGGAGGCAGCTGTTCCAGTCACATGGAAATGTCCAGGAGGATTGTGGGAGAAAAAGAAGAAAACCATGATTCACACAACCACAGAAGAATCAGAGTTGGAGACTCTCTCAAAGGTCATGTGTAATTAGCTCCCTCCCACATAAAACACTCTGTCCTCCTGGCACCTGGACTCATCTTTAAAAGATCCTAGCGAATGAATCACCATGGTACAAAAGTGTGGCTGAGTTGATATAACATACCTGGTTAATAAGACATGATCCTGGTCGGCATATTCATAAAGCATATTAGGCCCAAACAAATAAAGCACCTTAAGCCTGATTCACACAACCTACTGGATTTCTACAACACACTGAACCACAAACCTACAGCATGAAACAAAGCATTCTGCTCCATTCTCAAACAGATTGTATCAGTTAGTAGGATCGGCTTATTTCAGAAAGAATCCAGTGGCATCTTTTCAGACTAACACATTTTATTGAAAGCCCAAAGGTTTTGTGATTAGCACAGCCCTCATATAAACCCCTTCCCTGTAATATGAACTCTCTGGTTCCGAAACACGAAGCAAATCTGTTCGTTTAGTACAGGAAAGCTCTTTAGAGGCTTAAAGGGAAAGATTCCACTGCTTCTTATTGTCCCTTCTCCTGGCTGAACAGCTAGCTCTCCTTCAACAGAGGTTCCAATTCTTTTACGGAAGGATCATGTCTTGAAAAACTTTCCAAGCCAGGAGGATATATTATGATCACGCTTAAAAGCACACTTTACCTGTGTCCGAAGTTTGAGATTAGTGTGATGAAATCAAGTCTGTGCTTAGGAAAGCCTGACCCGAAATAAAATCCTGCTTTATTTCAAAGATAAGCTGCTTGATTAAGAAGGATGGCTTCTTTTTGCTTGGGCGACGGCAAGGCGACCTGCCCCCTTCTAATTTCCCCAAATTCCTAGCACAGGGATCGCCCCGCCTAGCAGCCATCAGATCGCAGCTTAACGCAGTTTCAGTCATGCGCAAGAAGTTGCGCTCGCAGGGAGCGCTCCCACCCCTCAAAACCGGGGGAGAGGGGAGGGGGGCGCCAAAAGGAATTGCCCGCAATCCCCGCCCCGCAACAAAACACCCGCGCAGATTCCATACACATACAAACATCCGCCCCAGCACGGAACCCAAAAGGATTCCCAAGAGAACCGATCCAATAGCAGAAAGCGTTAGCCCTAAGGGCTTCTCCAGAAAAAACTTCCACCGCTCCGTCCTGGAAGTTCGGTTAGTATTGAAAGGTCCAGATTCGGGGAGAGGGCGGGGCATCTTCGCGCAGCGCGGGACGTTCCCCGACGGAGCGTCCGAGAGCCTCTTCTTCCTATCTGCGACCTTCTGGGGTGGAGCTGGCAAAGCAGAAGTTCAATCGCACCGAGGGAGGGGAATCATCTCAACAGGGAAGGGAAAGGAGGGAAGGGGGCGCTGGAGGTCGGGGGAATGCAAGAGAAAAGCCATAGATCTGACCAAAGCTCGGGGGGGGCAGAAGGGCCGAGGGCGACCGGTTGGCTCAACAGCGCGCCAGGGATCCCTTAGGACAGGGCTCTCCAACTTTGGGCACTTTAAGCCTGGAGGACTTCAACTCCCAGAATTCCCCAGCCAGCTTTGCTGGCTGGGGAATTGTGGGAGTTGAAGTCCTCCAGGCTTAAAGTGCCCAAGGTTGGAGAGCCCTGCCTTAGGAGATCAAGTTATTTCTGCACGCAGCTCTCTCACGGACGGCGCTTTTCCGCTCCTGCCACACGGTTACCTGACTCTTGCTGGCAAGGGACAGTCTAGCGTGGCTGGCAAAGCGGCTGCTGCTGCTGCCGCCGCCGCCGCTTCCCAACTTCGGCGATGCCGCGAACGCCGTCGGAGATGCCGGCTTGGAGATATCCGGGAGTCCGGCTGCCCGGCTGAGGATCTCCACCTGCTGACTTAAATGCTCGACCTGCGCCCGCAACTGCTGGTTCTCTTGCTGGAGCTCGGCTACGGTGCTGGCCAGCGGGTTGGCCAAGCGCAGCACTTCGGCCACCTGTCGGTCCACGCCGTTCTTAAAGACCTGGATATCCACGTGGATCTCCTTCACCGCGCCGCGAAGCGTTTCTTCGTAGCGGCCCAGCGCTTCGCACACCGTCTGGGCGTCTTGGCTGTTCAGGTCCGCGATGTCGCTCGACGACGTCCGCGCCGCGCTCACCTCCATGGCGGCCCGGCAAGTGGGTCTCCCGCCCCCCGGTTAGTCCGGAAAAAGCCCGTGTCCTCGTCCAAAGAGGAAAGGTCCCGGCCGGTTTAACCCGAGCGTCCTTTAAAACGCGATGCCCGCTTTCAGCAGTACTGAAGCGGCCCCGGTCGCTTCCTTCACCGTCTCTTTTTGCCAGCGCCAACCTCTCTTTTTATAGGCGGGTGGACTGGGCGGAAGGAGCAGGTGGGAGGGTGCAAAAGGAAGGTTTCCAGGGGCTGATGGGGGCCGGGCAGGAATACACCGAGCAAAGGGTGCTGCCCGGCTATTTCCCCCTGCCTGCGCAGACCGCCCCTTCGGAGGAGGAGCTGGAGAGGAGGGGAGACCGTCCGTGTTTGAGGCGGGGGCCGAGCTGGTGGCTGCGGAAGGAGTGGCCGCCTCGATCCTTTCTGAGGCGCCGGCAAGGAATCAAAACATTCCCCCAGTAAGGTTGTAGGCTTCGTTCCCCCCAATGTCTGGCCAGGTGAGGTAAAGGCATTGCCCCGGCATTCACACAACACGCCAGGGTTGACTAAGTTATCTTGTGGATATCAAACTAATTCGGTTAATTTATGTTCCATGTGTTGTGTGATTCCAGAAAATGGTTTATTTGAGTCATTCAAACTAAGAGGTAGGCATTGCTTGGTTCCCACCCCCCCCAAGCACCTTAACCCAAAATCGAGGTTCGCAGAACAGAGTTGCTGGGCTCACTTAACTTGCTCTGCTAAAAATAAATCAAGTTATGATTTAATAATAGCCCATTTCACACAAGATGGTAATGCAACGGCTGGGATCCGACAACACACTAAACTCTGCAACTCAATTTTGCCTAGTTTAGTGCATTGGGATGACTAGGGAAGGTTAGGATGACTATGAACCCTTATATGCAAAGCTAAAGGTCAATAAGATTGAAAGAAAAGTAAAAAAGGGGCTAAATCTATTCACAGCACCAGGTGGTTCTTTAAAGTTTACTCTACAGAGGAAGAAAGGGTCAACCAAATTCAGGAAGAGGCCAGCATGGCTAATAGTGTTCAGGAAACCGTAAAAGATAAGAGTTTTCTTTCAGGAAGTGGAAAGCTTGTCTTAAAGAAGAGAACAAATTGGAATACAAACTTGGCAAAAAAAAAAAAAAGGGTAAAGCAAAGGGAAAAATGAGGAGGAAAAGGACCAGAGGAGTAGAATTATATACAATCATTGCTTTCTGGTTCCCTCAGATTTAAAAGTTGTTGAATAGGAATATAATTTTAGACCATTGAATCACCCTCAGATTCATTCTTCTTATGGTCTTAATATTTAATTACTGTAAATTCTTTGAGTGTTTATAGAAACAAAAATAGCAAACTGAGGTAACACCAGGCAGAAATCTTGAGAAACTACTCAGTCTTCAGGTCCTGGTGGCATCTACCCAAGAATTATTAAAAGAATTCAAATATAAAATATTTGGGCAAAATATGGAACTTGTTACTAAATTTAGTTTTGGTGCCAGAGAACAAGAACTGACACATTTTTTTAAAAAAGGGATCCAAAGGGAGATATCAGTGGATAAGTGGATGAAAATGATCTTGTCAACATTGCAACTTGAATTTAAAAAAAAAAAACTAACAAAGTCCCTCATCAAAAGTTATTTGAGTCATTGCAGTGTTATACCGTGTTTCTCACAAAATAAGGCGAGGCCTTTTTTTTTTTTACCCCCGAAAAAACGGCTAGGCCGTCTTTTCGGGGGTGACTTAATTTCCTCGCCCACCTAGAGTGACCCAGGCGCACTCCCCTCGCCGCGAGGCCGCTTCTATCGGCCGACGAAAGCTCCCTTGAAGGCAGAGTCCCCAGCCGCTTTGGGGCGTGGCATGGCTGCCCGTGTCCCCTCAACTTTAGGCAGTCTCAGGCAATGGAAGCTCCCCAAGTGCAGTCACCAGCCCCTTCGATCGGCTGGTAGAAGCGGCCTCGGGGCGAGCGCACACCCACACTCCCCTTGCCGCGAGGCTGCTTCTATCGGCCAACGAAAGCTCCCCAAAGGCAGAGTCCCCAGCCATTTCAGGGCGTGGCATGGCTGCCCGTGTCCCCTCGCCATTAGACAGTCTCTTTTGGGCGATGGAAGCTCCCCAAGTGCAGTCACCAGCCCCTTCGATCGGCTGGTAGAAGCGGCCTCGGGGCGAGCGCACACCCACACTCCCCTTGCCACGAGGCTGCTTCTATCGGCCGACGAAAGCTCCCCAAAGGCAGAGTCCCCAGCCATTTCAGGGCATGGCATGGCTGCCCGTGTCCTCTCGTCTTTAGGCAGTCTCTTTCAGGCGATGGAAGCTCCCCAAGTTCAGTCACCAGCCACTTCGATCAGCCGATAGAAGCGGCCTCGGGGCGAGCGCACATACACACTCCCCTCGCCGCGAGGCCGCTTCTATCAGCCGACGAAAGCTCCCTTGAAGGCAGAGTCCCCAGCCGCTTCGGGGCGTGGCATGGCTTCCTGTGTCCCCTCACCTTTAGGCAGTCTCTTTCGGGCGATGGAAGCTCCCCAAGTTCAGTCACCAGCCACTTCAATCGGCCGGTAGAAGCGGCCTCGCGGTGAGGGGAGTGTGTGTGTGCGCTCGCCCCAAGGCCGCTTCTACCGGCCGATCAAAGTAGCTGGTGACTGCACTTGGGGAGCTTCCATTACCCGAAAGAGACTGCCTAAAGGCGAGGGGACACGGGCAGCCATGCCACGCCCTGAAGCGGCTGGGGACTCTGCCTTCGGGGAGCTTCTATCGGCTATCGGGGTATTCTAGCCTAGGCTACCTGCAGGGCACTCCTAAAGGCAAACTTTCTCCCCATCCCCCCGCCCTTCCCCCCATTTCTCTTCACCTCGTGTAGTTCTAACGAATGATGTGAGAAATGGTGGGGAGACACATGGTTTAAATAGGCCTAAATTTTGGGGGTGGGGCTTAATTTCACCTCATGCCTAGAAATCATGCTGGGCCTTCCTATTGGTGGAGGCCGTATTGTTGGAGAAACGCGGTATTTATATAATACTGTCCTCATTACTGTTAGTTTGTTTCAATTGGTAATTCCTTCATTGGGAGGTTGTTTACTTCTTGATTGTTTGCCTAATGTTGAAACTACTGATGCAGACAAACAAGTTAACAGTACAGTAGTCCTTGACTTACAACAGTTTATTTATTGACCATTCACAGTTACAATGGCACTGAAAAAAGTGACTTACGACAATTTTTCACTGTTACGAACGTTGCAGCATCCCCACAATCATGTGATCAGATGCTTGGCAACTGGATTCATATTTATGACTGTTGCTGTGTCCAAGGTCATATGATCACATTTTGCAACCTTCTGACAAGCAAAGTCAATGAGGAAGCCAGATTCATTTAACAACTGGGTTACTAACTTATCCACTGCAGTGATTGATTTAACAACTGTGACAAGAAAGGCCGTAAAATCAGGCAAAACAAATATCTCATTTAAAACAAATTTTGGCCTCAATTGTAGTCATAAGTTGAGGGCTACCTGTAAACAGCAGCCTAATTAAGAAACTACCAAGACCACTCCCACCAGCACCAAAAGGCATACCCCTGAGAACAAATGAACGGAAACAAACCCCATTCCCTTCTAACGGGGATTATGATGTTACCTAGTTTGGTAATAAAAAGTCTGCAAGAAAATAACCAAGCTCAAAGAGCCCTGAGCTACAAATATTTTATCAGAAAGCAGAATAGGAATAAAATGCCAGTTTTCTCAGTGAAGCGGGATGCGTAGTGGAATCCCTTAAAGCAGGGGTCCTCAACCTGTGGACTGTGAGGTGTTTGCAATCGGGCTGCAGAAGTGCATGCACACATCTTCACCTGCGCAAGCAGTGGGTGAGTGTGTGCACTTTGCGTGAATGGCAGGCCACTTGTGCAAATGGACCTGCATGCACACATGTGCTTGCCGGCCATTTACAAAATCATCCCCTCCTTGCTCGTCCACAAAGCCAGAAACATTGGGGAACTCTGCCTTCAAAGATCACTGCTGGGACCAGTTGCTTTTTGATTTGTTTTTAAAGGATCTTCACTTAGAAGTAAGCGGTATGCTGGCCAAGGTTGCAGATCATACTATTCTTTGTGGTAAAAATTAGAAGTGATTGTGAAGTGTTCCAGAAAAATCTTTTTAAATTGAGTGAACAATCAACCGCATGCACATCTCTAATTCAATTTAAGGAAGTGTAAATTTATGTACCCTGGGGCAACGAAACTAACTATGTATGCACTGATGAAGTCTGAGCTGTCTTTAATGATATTGGTGTCATATTAGATAGGTGGATGAAAATGACTCATTGGGTAGCTGCTGTAAATTCCAACCTAAGAATTAGGTATCTTAAAAAGTTGTCAATATGGGAACAAAACATCACACTTCCATCTGAATCACATCTCAAAGTTCCTTCTGGACTGTTCCAGGGACAGTTTTTTAGTTTCTGGGAGTAAAATTATTTATCTGTTGGATTTATAGGGCTGCCCAACTCAAACAGTTTGACTCTGAGTGGTATACAACAGAAAAAAAAGCCAAGAAAGCAAGAGAACCACACAACATTAAAGCATACATAATATACAGTATAAATATAAACTGTAAAATGGCAGCCAAACATAATAAAACAACTGAAAGGGAACACCATTCAGCTGGACAAAAATGCTTGAGGAAAAAGCCAGGTCTTTAATGACTTTCATAAAGGTGAGCAGAGTTGAAGCTTGTTTATTGAGGGGAGATTGTTTCAGAGGGGTCTACGACAATTCACCGCAGCCAACTTACCTTGGCCAATTCACTGCAGGACAAGAATTACACTAATATCAAAGAAACAGTGGAATTGAATCATTAAGGAAAGGATGCAAAAGGAGGGACAAAATGAAATGTGAATGACAAAAATTAAAATATTTTTTATTTATTTTAAATAATTAAATTGAATTGTTAAATTGTCCAACCATGAGTTGGCCCATGGTGAGTTGGCCATGGCAAGTTGGCTGCAGCAAGTTGCCAGTGGCAAATTGGCCCACTCCAGTTTCAGAGCACAGCTGCAGTCTTAGAAAAGGCATGTTTCCTCGGTCCCATAAGGTAGCAAAGTTTCAATAATGGAACCTGTAGCATGCCCTCCTTATGGCAGCTTCTGGGGTGGGCAGATGATA